CCCGCTCCGCGCCGCCCCGCTCCTCACCCGCCTCGGCCGCGCCCCTCTGTCTGCCCGCCTCCGCGCCCTCCGCGCCCCTCCCGCGCTCCTCGCCGCCGATCATCGCGGGGACCTTCAACTCGTACCTGAAAAATAAACTTTATAGTTTGAACAATCCCGGTGTTGTCGGGGGTGTTGCCGGGGGTGGCGGTGCGGAGGGCACCTGTGCGCGAGCAGGTCGGCGGCGGGAGGCAGGCGGCGGCGGGCGCGGCGCGGGGCGTGCAGCGGGGGGGTGCGGGCGAGGCGGGCGGCGCCGCGACGACGCAGACGCAGCGGCAGCTCCCCGGCGGGCGCCGCGGCGGCGGTGCGCGCGCAGAGCTGCTCCACCGCCTCGCCGCTCCACCCGATGACGCACTGCGCGCCCACCTGCGACATGTACCATACGATTACAATACCACCCCGATATCTCCATCGAATCCTTTCGAATCATGGAAACGATCGTATAAAATCGTATTGGTGTTCCTTCCCCGAGCGGCCGCCGGGTTCGACTATTCCGCCGTTTTTATAAATCTATTTTTATGTTTAATCATAATTTCTTTCTCCACAAAATTTTTAAAATATTGTTTTAGATGAAGATTTTGGAAGAATCCTTTCTTAGTGCTCGCCTATATAGTGAGGGGCTCGGGGCTCGGGGCGTGGGTCATGAGACGTGGGGCGTGGAGCGTGGGGCGTGGAGCGTGGGGCGTGGGGCGTAGGGCGTGAGGTCTGAGGCGGGGACGTGGTGCGCTGGGGTGCGCTAGGACCTGCACGATCTCGTCGCCGTCGTGCACGGCGCCCGAAGCGTGCGCGGGCGAGCCGAAGCGGATGTGGGCGAGCTGGTGGTGGCCGCAGAAGGAGGGCAGCACCTCGAAGCCGAGAGCGCGCGCGCCCTGCCGCAGCGTCACCGTGTCCAGCGAGGCCGGCTGCAGGATCATCGGGTCCGACACGTCCTGCGGAAGCAGCGGCCGGTGTCGGTGAGTGTGAACGTGCGCTAGCGGGTGCGTGCCGGGTGCCGGGTGCCGGATGCTGCACCTGTATGATGTAGTCTGCGAGCTGCGCGGCGGCGGCGGCGGCGGCGGCGACGGCGCGCGCGGGCTGCTCGGCGAAGCGGTCGCGCTGCGCGCACGTGGCCGCCTCCAGCGCCAGCTTCAGCAGCGCCGCCTTGCGCTCGCCCAGCGCCGCGCCCGTGCCCGCCCACCTGCGCCCGCATGACACTTCACATTACACTTACCGGTAAACTAACTATCATTGTTCTCCATTGTTTAGTATGTGTATTGATGTGTAGTTTCATTTTAATATTTATTTATTTACATTCACCGATTTACATTTCTATCGGCGCGTGAAAAACTCGTATCATTATCAAAATTCTGTTCATGGAATAAGGTATCCCCACTCTCGTTACCATCATAAAAGCGGGCATGTAGTGCGTATAAAGAATTTATTGCGCAAGAGAAGTATGCATGCCTGTCGAGCCAGCAGACGAGCGGCTTGACGGCGTGCACGGTGCGCGCCACGTCCGCCAGCGAGTGCGTCTCGAGGCGCGCGTCCGCCGCGTGCCGCAGCGCGCGAGCCAGCGACGTGGCCGCGCCCGACACGCGCAGCGCCAGCTGCTGCACGCACTCGCGCGACACCTCGTACTGCTGCAACACCACCCCACACACACACGCACTACTCTAACTGCAGTATCCATGCACAACATTCTCGTCGCAGTTGTGTACAGGTACAGCACACTTTACCTCTTCATTATTAAAAGTAAACAAAGTGAAAAAAATTATATTCCATACCAAGTATACCTTTGAGTCCAATTCCAAGCCAACATATTATATTTGTACCAAAAGTGCACATTTTTCATGGAAACTCACAAAACAGTCTGTTCTCTTGAACATGCAGGAGGGTGGCATATAAGCAACAACCATAAATTTTTAAAATATTGAATTGTTTAAGTCATATTGTAATTATGTTTTCCTTCCGTGCACCCTTTTCTATGTAAATTAAAGGTAGCCAATGCATCTGCAATTGCAGATGTCTATGAGCTGTGGTCGCTTTACTATTTCACTGAATTCACATAGCCGCTTGCTAACTAGCCAGCTTTTATTAAAAAAATGTGTGTTTAATTCAACTCACTCAATTTTTTTTTCTTCTCATTTTAATAATAAACTTTATCAAGTTATCTGTACACACCGCACAATGAGTGTCATTCCTCTACGACAATTTATCACATTTCACAAGACGAATCACCATTTACAAAAGTTAGTTTACGTTCAGTTACCAGTCATACAGCATGTGCTCACAACCATACAAACCATTAAGCCATAGCTTTTGAAAGTCAACCATATTTCTTCGTATTTAAACTCGGTGCTACTATTTACATGTATGTACCGCTCAATACATTATCATAATCACAGTTGTTTACAGACTTTAGAACTGCAATTGTGGTTAGCTAATTATTTGCATATTAAAAAATATATATTAATTTGCTTAAAAGAGGGGAGAAATGATAAATGCTGCTAAGTTGTTAACTAATATCTTTTACCTTTCTCCATAATGTCTACTTTTTTTAATTACAATTTTTTTTAAATAAGAGCTTACAATATATGTAAATGATACTTTGTGAAGGTATGCTACGCTGTGTGTTACAGAATAATATTATAATCAGTGTGAGCCATTAAATAGTAAACTTATATTCACATTCATACACAAATTGCAACAAAAACTACAATACAACGAGTGCATATACTACTATTAATGTTCACCAATTAATATAGAACTAGAATACAAAATATTTTAATTTTCTTTAAACACCAAATGGTTTTAAATGTTTTATAATAAGGAAAAAAAACTCAACTAAAATGTTAATGTGTGAATTCAAGTGCATCAAGTGTTACATACAAAGTTCCGCAAGTGTTCGACTGCTTCGAGCAGCAGCTCCTGGTGCCCGATAACGTGAATTCCGAGGTATTCGAGATCATCACATCGTAGGGTGAGCAGCTTGGCGCCGTCCAGGCCGCGCTGGCGAAGCGCCGGCACGTAGCCCGCCACCGTGGGCCCCAGCCCTGCGCACAACGCACGCACACTGTGACTCACCAAGCGAAAACAATTCAATCAAAAACACTATTTAATGTACAAACCGGACAGCCAATCCATCACCTGGTCCGGTGACCACTCTGCTATGTTTAAACTTCCCATTTTGACTAACTTGATTGATTACTATTAGTTATATCACAGCACATTTTCATAACAATACAAATCGCTTTACAAAATATTATCAGCCGACAGAACGGCATCGATGTTTATTGTCAATTCTGTCAAAGTCAAATCCTGTCCTGTAAAATGACATTGCCACTTTAAAAAACACATTATCCTAACTGATCTTGTTAAAAAATTTAGGCCTTCATAATTAGTGTAATATGTTTAACGTTATTGTTGTTGTTTAATAAAAGATTCACTCTATGCGGAATTAAGGAAAATAATTGGATTTTGCTTTATTATAAACTATATGATATCTATGGCTTCAAATAATTGATGATTACTGGCAGCTCGCTAGATGGCGCTTTTTACAATAGATAATAGGCTATTTAGTTATGTTAGTCGGAATTTAGAAAAAAAAACATGAATTAGCTTCTAGATCTATTTTTATGTTTTCTAACCTAGCTTTATTCAAGTGTAGGGAAAGGTTATTGATTCTGGCTAATATGCTGTTTTGCCTTTCGTCATCAGCTCACTATGTGTCCCCACAAAGGGGCTCGGAGCCTACTATAAGTTAGGATTGACTAGGCCATAACCAACCACGCTGGTCCACTGCTGTTTGGTTGACTTCACACATATCTTTGAATTTCTTCTCAGATATATGCTAGTTGCATCACGATGTTTTCCTTCACAGTAAGAACGTCGGATAAATGTTCACATGTAAATCGAAAATCTAAGAACACATTGGTACATGGCGGGATTCAAACCCAGGACCTGCAGATTTCAAGTCATGTGTTTAACTCCTGAGCCACCGACGCTCTGCTCATGCTCGTTGGCCACCTTACAACATAATTATACATTTGTAGCATACATTTGTAAATATGCTCCTAAAGGTGTATCTAAAGATTTTTAGATCTGCATTTCTTAGTGCGTATCATGGTTTTTGGTTCTGTCGGGATAGACGTATATCGAATGGACCTCACGCATCTGCAATCTGAGGTCACGACGAAGTCTTCCCACACATTCACATTCAGTAACTCGCTTCCGCAATACCTCTGCTGCATGTCATGCATAACCAAACATTTTTAATATAATTCCGCGGCCGCAGCCGTAATGATGTCGTTCCAGTTCCATCAGGAAAACTATTTGAAAACTCGTCCAATAAAATTTGCCGATACACATCGACATCGACCTAGGCGCAACACGGCTAGACGACTATTTTATGTTTATTGCTTAGCATTCAGGTGAAGAATTTGAAGTCATTAGCTAAGTAAGTAATCCCGGCGCGGCGAGCGCGAGGGCGATTGATGCCTTTCGGAGAGCGGAGCGCGTTCTTCACATTCTGTGTACGAATATGTAATAGCGAGGAGTGAGAAGCGAGGAGCGAGGAGCGAGGAGCGAGCAGGCAGCAACCCGCCGCACTCACCAGCCTCACAGCTCGATGCCAGCTTTGTCGGATATGCGTCTACATGCACAACTTATTAAACCTTTTATTTATAACTCGTAAAAAAATAAAGAAAATTGATGCCTAGAACTTTCAAAAATAGAACGACGTTGTATAACTAGGACGCATAGAGATGTATGGAGGCTACAACCGACATTTTCGTTAGATCATTTATAAGTCAAGGTTAATGGTACTTAGACTACTGTTACATTAAAAAAAATTATGTATACCTTCTAACTTAGAAGAAATTATTCATACGTATTAAATAATATGTACCTATTTTATAATTCGCATTATATCGGAGGCGAAGCGGCGGCGTGCGTGCTCACTGCTGCTCCACCAGATGGTGCCCTTTACGTTGGGAAAGTCAACGTGGAAGACGAGTAAGCGGCCAACTGAATGCTCCGAAAGAGCAAAGCAATAATTGATGGAGCTCTTCCTCCGCACAGAAAGAGAATATTTCCTGTTCCTTTGATTCGTCTACTCCATAAAACTAAAGGGTGGGAAGGGATAGAAGACTAACATTAGACCTCCGTCGCCCACACTCATTATACGAAACGCTTCCACTTGACGCCTGTCTTCTGTGTGGTCATGGTATTGCACCGGGGGAGTCGGACCGTTCGTGCACCAGATCTACAGCTGTTGTATTTTTCTTCAAGCTTCAGAATCTTTCGAACCCACTATTTATAATGACTTATGTAATGTTTAGCCAAAGCTGCTTGTAATACAAGTAACAAAGGTAAATGTGGCACATTCAAAGATAACTATGCACTAATCTGCAAACAGGTGGATACAAAGAAACATAAATAAATAAATAACAATATGTGTTTTATACTTAGACAAGCTTCCCTTTTGTAAATTGTTACGTCTTAATTTTGTATTCCTTGCAACATTAAGCACAAATGAGTTGACAAAGCGGCGAATACTTGTAGCGAGAGGGGTTGAGTGCGCACCCCGGGGTGAGCGCCGCCCCCCGGGGTGAGTGATCGCGCACACCCCACCACCTTTGTGACGGGGCAGGTTGCAGCAACTTTTACGTTTTAACGGTTATTTTGTGAAAGTAACACCGATGTCTGTCTTTTCGTTAAGTTTTCACCCGGGAACGTGTCCCTACTTTAACTTACCACTCACAGCGACTAGAAATTTAAATAATCGCGTAAAAAATTTAAAAGATTTTTAACATTTGTATTTGATTTGATGTTGGTTGCGCTCAGATATGTTCTTTGCTTATAGGTACCTACATACGTACATACGGCGACTGATGACTGACGACTGACGACTGACGACTGACGACTGACGACTGACGACTGACGACTGACGACTGACGACTGACAAGGTACACAAGAGTCGAAGAATATAGGAAAGCTTGTCGTACATCGCTTTATATTTCATTTTCTTGAGGTCCTCATGTTGTGAAGTATGTCGATGTCATTATATTTATTTTAATTAAACACTGTCGCTTACATGTTGTAAACCTATCAGAAGCAACACGCAAGTTCATTTATTCAATGTTAATGCATGATACAAAAGGTTCAACAGTCAGTTAAAGAAATGTTAAGTCATCGAGCAGCGTGCAGTATGCGGTGATCAGTGGATGTCATAGTGACATTATAGCGGTGCGGACATTGCGGCTGAGAGCGGGGACACGCGGACACACAGAATGCCCAGCGAGGTGAGTGCGCTTGGAACTTCGCACTATATAAAATTTCAGGTGTTATGTTTACATGTGAAAGTTGACATTGAACACAACCAACACAAGATTAGCATTTTTAAATGGACATGAATGAATTCCTTCGTTTAGACGTAGACGATAAATAGGCAATTCTTGAATCATGGTTGAATGGGCAACAGCATGTCATTGCTGCAGGAATGTCCAGCTCGGGCGAAGCAAGCGCATCACCACGACCACACAAAGACACGCCTCCAGCGTAAGTAATTCCACGTACAGTCTGACGAGTGTGTGTGCCAAATGATAAATCTTCATCTTATTTAAAATATAAATTAGGTGCTACCAATTGCTCGCGACTTGGTCCGCGTCAAATAGATGCTGTGTTCGGATAGAATTTAAATTATTAGGCTAATTATTAAACTTACAAAACATTTACATAAATAAACACCGCTTTTTCTAATGAAATTATAAAGGTTCTTTATCGCTAAAAGAGAATTGAAACTTAGTCAGGCTACGATGTTTGTTTCTTAGGCAAAGATATGATTTGATAAAGACAAGAGTATATAAACATTAAATATATTCTTTGTTTACCTTCTAACCATTACCTGACCTTTTATAATTTAATTGTACCAAAGTTGAATAATAAAATGCATTATAAAAAATATAAACAACACAGCATCTTATTGTAAGTAATTCCAGTAGAGATGTGTATGAGCTGAGCTGTAGGTAGCTTTACCTCACAACTACCTGAAACACTTCATTTAACTTGAAACCCATTATATTGTACAAAACAATTGGATTACAATTGATGTCGAGTTAACTGAGTTGTTGGAGTAAATGATCGCGAGAGTCGCGCGCGGGGGGAGGGGGCGGGACGCGGCAGTGCTCCGCCTCCGCCTGGACCTCTGCCTTGCACGCATCGCCGACTCTGCTACTGGATAGCACATAGCCACAAACTTAATTCTCAGTCAATATTGTAGAAGGTATAATTGAGCGCTTGGCTGTTTGATACAAGTCCAATCAACGTATAGCACAGTTTTCGGAAGCAAGTAGCGAGGGGCGAGTGTTGAGGCGTGCTGGACGCCGCGACACCCTGCGTGCCTGTGTGCACAGGGGCGTGAAGCGTGGGGCGAGGCCTGACGGCTCGGGGCGGGGCCGGCCAATGGCGGCGGGCACGGATGACGCGGCCGGCGCGGCTGGCGCGCCAGTCTCGCGCGGCGCGCCGCACCGGATGCATTCTTGACGCGCTGCTCCCGAACCTAAGGCGAGCCGAGCCGAACCAGCGGGAGCGTCCGCGAGCCGCGAGTGACCAGTGCTGTGTGTACATACTTATTGAGTGAGGTGCCATATCGCCCGGTACGGGCGTGCCGACAACCCCGGACCTGCAGCGCTCCGCCGCCGACACCACCGCCGCCGCCGGGGTCGCGATCTGCTCCCGCACTAGAAGGTGGGCTCGGCACCCGGCATGCATCATACGAGGCCGTAAGAGGCTAATGTCAAATCGATCATTCAGAGTTACATAAAGTTTTTCAAAGAGCCTACATCTGTCTTAAAAAGTACTTACATGTGTTTTCACGAAACATTTACGAAAAAACAACTGGTTCAAAAAACTGTAGTTCATCTTAAACTCGTATATTTTATTGATATCATCTATATTATAAGATAACAAAGTAAGGTCGGCAAGAAAAGTAAGGCTACTTAGTTGTACTGAGAGGAATATATAATAGTTGTTATTTATTTATTTATGTTCAGATCGATAGAGAATAGAAATTACTTTTTGTAAAACAAATAAACAATTGAAAGTATTAAATGAATCATACACATACACATACACATCATGTAATAGTTGGTAATGATGTTTGTTACACAAGTACATGGCTGCAGGCTGCTGCATACTGGCCGCCTCGTCCGCGTCACTTGACAAATAAGGTGCGGTGTTATACTGGAGCAACTTGTGATGAAGGATAATTATATTGCTTATACATGTAGATTACTTGAATGATTTACTGAGCAATGCCTCATGTACATATATACTATGTTTTACGTTAGTGCCGACCTTCTACCCGCTACCCGCTACCCGCTAACAACACCCGACGGCGCGCGTGACTCTCAGGTCAATAGGATATAGTAATTGCTAATAATAATTTAATTAAATGCTCACAATGTATTTAAAGTAAAATTCATTTAATTATTATCACTAAAGCAAATAGATTCTAATCAGAATTCGAACCTATATTAATTTCGCTTAAGAACGTCTCCCAAAAACATTATTAAAAGCAATAAATACATTTTTTGATAATATAGTTATAGCTACATCGTTGTTGCACGCTGCTTGTACACATGTACTGGTAGTATGGTGCGTAAGCGCAGTGCAAGTAACCACGTACAAGCGATATCACAAGTATCTGCCTCCTGCCGAAGTGATACTTATGTAAAATCCAATTAGATTTCAAACAAGTCTATGTTACCTTACTTACGAGTACCTGTATACACGTATGTACGTGCGTACATTAATGTTTCATATAAATAATGCATAATTAAGAAGAACAAACAAAGAACGGTATTACATTATAATGTAAATGTAAATAACATTACGTTTCGTAATATATGACAGTACGCGTCGCAGTAGAGCGCACAGAGACGCACAGAGACGCACAGAGACGCACAAAGTGAGCGGCGCGGTGGGGCGGCACTGCAGTGCTGTGCGCTGCCGACACACATCTATAACAAATGTCATTTCTCTGATATTATTGATGATAATAAACAAAACACTATATTATTGATAAAGATGTTGGGAAGTCAAGGCCACATTTTGGCCGGCGGCCGTCCGGCGTCCGGCGCCCGGCGCGCTGGCGGCCGTGCGCTCCCGGCTGCTACTCGTAGGAAATCTTACAATGTCAATTCATTTATTAGCTTTCATGAAATGTTTTCAGTCTCCATCCTTATGTATCTTTAAACTAATAATACTATTAACCTTCAAAATAAGAAGTAGCTTAGCTATAAAACCTATGCCTAGAAATGTTTGCTATCGTCCTAGGCACGTCGGAATCGGGCCTTACGAAGAGGGCGAAGAAACGCACTTTTGTGAGTACAAAATGTGCATTTTGCATGATTTAGTTACTCAAACCTTCGCATGTTCGCTTGTTTAAAAGTAAACAACAATTTTTTGCGTATGTTCATATCTATTACAAACTAGAAATGCTTTGTTTCTTTAGTATTTATTAAAACGTGGTAACATTAGAGCCGTGTGCCGTGTCCGGTTAAAAATAATTATATTAACCAGTTTTCCATGTATAAAATAAACAAACCTACGCATATAATTAACATAATATTAGTGAAAAGCTGATCGTTTAAATGTAACAATGAATAACTTAACACTTTTATCGATATATTCATTTATGTTTATTTCAATCGACAAATTAATAAAAACAATATCTACGTTTATTAATTTTTGAAATAGAAATAAAAAGATTTAGTTGTACGAGTATGTGTTCTGTAAATGTACTTGTATCAATGTCATGTTTCATTATATATGTTTTATATATATATAATATATGTACGAGTATATTGTGTTAGCAAGTGCGAGGCATCCTCCGAGGTACTCGTACTGTTCTTGTCGTCGCCGCGCCGTCACCTTCGTCTCTCCTAACTCAAACACGATCAAATAATTATATATGTTTACAGCACGCATTTCATATTGATACACTTAGCTGATCTAATTTATTATTTCGACGCTCAAATATGTCATTAACTAAATAAAAAATGTATGTCCTAGTTGGCAACCTCGTTGTATTTTACATCAACTTGTAGTGTTACCTGTTTCATGTTAATTATTTTAAATGAACAATAATGTTCACTGAATTTTTCCTGTCTAACATAAGGGTAATGTATTTTACCGGCTCTGGTATGTCAGTATGTTTATATTTATGCGGGTGTCGGGAAAATCCATTTTTTTATATTACAAGGTGGCAAACGAGCGAGCGGCCACCTGAAATCGCTGAAATAGCGAAGTGATCGTTGCCCATAGCCATACGCAATTGCATACGCGTTGCCTACCTTTAATCGACGGAGGAGAGGATGCACAGAAAGAAAATATTTTCCCTTTCCATGCATCCTTTCTTCCGGAAAGTCCACTTCCACTTCCCATCCTTTCTTTATAAGAAAAAGGGTGGTAAGGGAAAGAAGACTAAATTAGGCCTCCGGGACGTACACTCATCAGACAAACGCGGAATTGCTTCCCCTTCACGCCTGTCTTCTGTGTTGCGACCTCTTGCAACCGAGACGGCCGAGAAACTGGCGAGTGAGGTGTCAATCTATTTGCATTATTTCGCGGAGTGTCATAAACACAACAACAATCAGTTGAGCGCTTTGATTTTTAAAATGAACAACTTGTTTAACAAGTTGTAACGTTGTTTTCACGGAAGCATATATGTCGGCGGATCGCGGACTTGTAACACAAGTTGAATTTTACGCATTCCTGTACAAATATGTCTCGAACAGAGGTGTATATTTAATTTCATTTAACTACAATTATACAACTCACATCATTGACTTGAATCAGGTTTTAATAAAACAATAACAATACATTACCATTCATCGAACTTATTATATTTATACAATGAAAGAATTACTTACTACAAACTGAAGCCGGCTTGCGCTCCAATGCCAATGCCAATGCCAATACCAATGTCTTAACATCACAAGTTTAAACAATTATTATAATATAGTTGATGTCAAATATCACACATGTATACATCCAATATAATAAAAATATTTCTTATCTTATTAGGGCACAAACTGTCTCTGTAAGGACGATACAGCAACTCTAAAGCTTCATCACAATCTCGTGTACGATGGTGTACGTTCGCGTTGGGAACGAACATACGACATGCAATTAATAGTTATATTTATACGTTAATATGCTCCTGTATCTAACATATAAACATTACTTCTTGTAAATACGTATGAAGTGAACATATAGATTACATTAATGTTCGCTTCTAGTCACCTTTCTTACAAATGAATATTATATATTGAAGTGTAAACAAGTAATTAAATAATAACAAACTCAAACAACTGCTTCTATTTATTTATTTAGTATACCTTTCGTTCAGACGCTCGCTCGACCTGATTTGCCATATTGATTGGACACTGTATTATTCTTTTCTCATTGACTAATTTCGGCAAAATGCATTACATATTACACTAAAACACTAATTACAATTACTAAATACTATTACAATAAATAAATAAACAAATAAGTATTATAAATAGATAGTTTAATTTTAAAGAGTCATATCTTGATGCTGCAACTTAACGTTAGCAGATTTGTTTATATTTATACAATGATACAGTTGATTTAGTTGGAAATATCAGTAGCATCGTTAGACAAAGGTGGTAGGTGGCGGGGTGTGGCGATCAGTTGAGTGGCGCAGCGCAGCGTGGTGGCGAGTTGCGGTCAGCGCGCCCCTCTGCCCCCGCCCTCACACATCGATCTACTGGAAATGTACACAGTGTGATATTGTTTAATATACAGACAGACTATTATCAGTAGAACGCGTGCTGCTGCGAGTGATTGTGGGCACGGCACAACACTGTCGGTCGTATCACTGTAAAATCACTCATTTGTAAAAAATAAGTAATAAACGAATCGTTAAGATGCTCTCGCTACAAAAAGCTTGACCCGAAATAAGATCGGAGATAAGCCGTGTTGACATTAAGATTTATCTTTGAGAACAAATGAAAAAAAAAGACCTCCGTCTTCTTCACAAAAAATGTTTAATTGTTATAATGTGATCGGACAAAGGCAAGGTGTATCATGCCATGCCATGCACACGGCGCGGTGTTACTAATGCTTTCTTATTTCTATAATTCATTTATCATCGTTATATATTCTTGATTTATTTATGTTTTTGGTTTGACAGACAGACAGACAGACAGACGGAGTTTTGTTAGCTTTGTGTGCGTCATTGAAGTAGGAAGTGAGTCCTCTCTATTGGTACTCGTGCTGTAAGTTCATGCTATTGTGTTCTAATGTCAGTATCTGGGGCGCGTTCAGTTTTAACTGTATTACATATGTAATGTAAGAAAATCTACTCAAAATGTCATTACATAAACGTGTACATTTAAAACGTTGCGATGAAAACTGAACGTGAGGAGCGAAAAATAATAATAATAATAATTTATTTATCTCAGATAACATGGATCCATATTCTTATTCTAGGGTTAGTAATAGCTTAAAAAACTAATGTTAGTATAAACAATTTAAATTAAAAAGAAGAAGAAGAAGTGAAGTTTCCTCAGCGATGCCAGAATGCGCTAGTCTACATGTAAATGTATCCAATGCTCCAGCATCGCCGAGTCCCACCTTTCCGTCAAGGCGCTCAGGATCCTGTTAGGGCTGTCACGCACTCGCCGCAATAAGGAGGCGCAGCGCTTTCGAAGTCCGCGAACATGCCGGAGGCACTGCAGTAACGCGGCAGCCCCATCAACATCCTGAACGCGTTGTTGTACTGCACACGTAGGTCTCTGTATGTTCTCTGCGTGTAGTCAACCCACAGACTGCAGGTATAGAAGGATTGGCAGTATGCTTTAAAAAGAGTTAACTTAACATGTTCGGTACATTTTGCAAATCTGCGGGCCAACATGTTGCAGCGAACAGACAGCGACCTACGTTCTCTTTCAATATCCAAATTATCTTTCATATCCTCAGTGATCCAATGACCCAAATACTTAAATTTGTCCACCTTTTTTAATGATGTTCCACAGAGCAAAATGTTTGGAACATTTTTGTAGCGCTTGCGATCCGGACAAAATATCATAAATTCGCTTTTCAGTGCATTATATTTAAGTCCGTGGGACACCGCATAGGATTCACAGATTTTAACTAAGTGCAAGTGTGTTTAAGAAAAAGTGTGCATTTATAAGTTTTGTCATTGTGACGGTGAATTATCACTTTTATAAACACCTGTTTAACAACAATATTGTTACTCAAATTAGACCGGTTTACCGATTTTTCTAAACATATATAATACTTATACTATATTCATAACATAATGGAATGTCATTGTTAAAGCTCCAATTTAAATCAATGTTGAGAACGTGGAGCAAACAAAGCTCTTAAAGGATTCTATACCGAAGTTAGCTATCTCGAAAAGAAGACGTTACTTCCTCGGCTTGAGACAGGATACAATGCCGCGCGCAAATACAATGTCGCCCGTCGACTATCGCCTGTCGCCTGTCGCCTATCGCATTGTGCCCGCCACACCGCACGCTTAAAAACTTTCCTATCATCTCATCAGGTCATTCTCATTTACTTTTACATGTAAAATCTTCATTTCTATTATATTTTAAAACTTATTTATGGAATAAAGATTTCGAAAAGCATTCAGCAGAAAGACATAGGCTAATAAAACAGTGCAAAAAGTCGCAGTACAAATGCATCAATGGACATCGACCTGTTTTGTTATTACAAGCAATCAATTATTGAAGCGGGATAATATCAGGTATAGCGTCGCCTGTTGCGCTGCACGGTGTTAGCACACCAGACGCCGCGCCGCACCGCACCCGCGCCCGCGCAATGTTACGTGCGTTGCGGTACGGAGCGAGCAGTGCGGCGCTATGCAATAGATGGCGCTCACACTGCCGCCACCACAAATCACGCTTTACGAGAATCGGGAACCGTTCTCATTTGCATAATCGTCTCTTTCCTTAGTTACGGTTCAGTTATAAAAAGGGGATGAGGACTTAACTTTTGATTGTATGAGTATTTATTTGTATCACTAAAATAAGTACTACAAAAGTATAGTCGTAGACTAAACATACCAAAATGCATAGTTTTAACTTTTATTGACATATCTGACGATAAGCCATTTCTTTATTAGTTATTTTTTAGTTACAGAATAATCATTAGGCGACTTAATGATTTTATTGAACATATTCTTTTGACCAGCAAACCAGTTTTAAACAGAAATGTAGATCAGTGTGGCTACTATAGATACGCGTGAACTCTCATACAAATGACATGCGGCGCGGCTCGTTGTAGTCGTTTCTTGAACTTGACGTTATTTTACTTGTCCCGTTGAAGCCGTGGGCACAAAATTAGCGTCCTGCGGGGCGGCGCGCAGGAATGTAAAGAAAAATACTACTCCGCTGCTCGTTTCGTGCGTGTCGCCGTACAGTGCCATACTTTACCTCGCTCGTAGCTAATTTCGCGCCCGCCGCCTGAGAACTTCTGTAAAATGACCGCTGAAATAAAACAATTTTATGATTTTTACGAAGAGCACTATATATGAACATTTACAGCTCTATATATCTGCCACAGAATATCTTCTGTATACTCGTATCGTAGTGTGAAAGAATTTAACTCGCTCTCAACAAACGAGCATTTCGTTATACAAAATATAAGGCGAGTGCCGACTGCCTACAATAGCCGGCGAGCGGCGGCGTAGAGCACGCGATGCTATCGGCGGCGGCGGCGGCGCGGCGGCTGTGTCCGAAAGAGAGCAAAAGATGGACAGCGGCACTCGGCTGCGGCCGCGGCGGTACAAAGGCGGGGCTTTTTGCAACGCGGACGACGGGTCCCGCGCCCCCTCGCCACTCGGACGCCTGTCTCGCAAAGCTCACCTTTTATTTTGGCCGCGACCAGAGCTCGCGTGAGAACTATGCCCGGGGCTGGCTGCGGCATACGGCACGGCCCCGGCCCTACGATTGCCACACGATAACGACTACAGACCAGACAATAGACCGCCCCCCCCCCAGCTCCCAGGCCCAGCATTACTATTTATTATTTTATTTTTATAAAATCTTGACGTAGGATTTTTTGTAACATGCCAGTCGTTTTGAGGCTTATAGTGAGAAGAGTGGGCAGCCTGTTTACATACAATATTATTATTTGATTATTGAATAGTAAAAAAGCAATAAATATTGATTTAATTATGTGAGCGCCAAGGTACTGCGGCGCGACGTCCGCACGGTCGCTATTATGTATGCGGGGAGTCGCGAGCACGGCCACCGGCCACCTGGCCCGCAGCCGGCCGCGCTCCGTCCTCACACGACCAC